TCCTGCCTCCACACCGCTCTATCCTCCACTTGTCTCTGGGCAATAGAGTTGTTGAGACCCATAATTGTCTTAATTTGGTCTTATGTCGAGTATATCTGGTTCTCCCCTTGCAATATGGCCAAAGTAGCTAAATAAACGTTTGTAAATAGTTAACTGTACAGAAATTTTAAAGAACGTAATATTTATTCAATAATTGAAATAATAATATTACTTCTCATAACTTCGACGCTGGTTTTCTTTCTGCAAACTCTTAGTTGTGTATTGAAAAAACGAACCGTGAACCCCTTTTAAAAAAAGTCCTTCGAGCCGGATTAACAACTTGTAAATTTTTCAGATAATGGGTCATATGGATGTCCTTCGTATTATAGCTGAAGGATTCAATATTTATTTCCCGATGTTAGTAATATTGCTATGCCTGGCTACGTATTTCTCTCTGGGTAGCAGGTTACTTTCGTTATGTGGATTCCAGCAGTTTGTTGGAGATGATGAATTTACCACGGACTTGGTGGATGAAGGTCGGGAACTTGTTAAGAGAGGTATGTCAACAAACTTATTCTGTAATATCAATTACGATTCCAAACTCGAGTTTTCGTACCACGTAATTCCACATTTGCAATATTGTCTATGAATATGGAATTCCATCGATATTGGTTTTGGTTGTTGACTGGCAATTTCAGTTATTTTGTTTCATTATTGGATTCCGTATCGAACTGTTTTATTTTATAACAGTTAAATGAAGGCGATCTCCGTTTGAATCCAGGCGAGTAGAGATTTGACCGTTAAGAAAGCGTTCAAGTATTACGTAACGTATTTTGAGGTCCTTTTGTAAAACGTTACGATTCGGGGCGGGGATTGAATTACGCGTTTTTTTAATATTATTTTCGACTTTCCAGTACTTACACCACATAACGGTAACTTTTATAAAGAGTTACTAGGTGGTCACGAAACGTTTTACTATACTTGGATACAGAAAAACGTTACGGCGCGTTACATGGGGGGGTAACTATCTCCAAAATTTGCGTGACGTAGTGAGTGATTAATTTGTAGTACAGAACGCAAAAGTAAAAATGGATTTAACCATAGATTTGAAGTTACTCCGAGTGGGTCTGATTTAATGTTTTTTATAGAGAAACGTCGCCGTCAACGCCTTGAAGAATCTACGACACGTAGACGGGACTATAGCGAACGGTTCACCGCTTACAGACCGAGGGATACGGATGGAGGTAAAACCGATATACACTCATAAACATATATACTACACGATATATACACTCTTAATATTACCTCTATTTTCTTTACCATAACTGTATTTTGCTCCAATATAAGTTTCACACCATGAAACTAGATGGCGCTATTTATATTTTAAAACGCGCTATCATTAATACTCAATCACATAACACAGTTGAGTCGTAGTCCTTAAACGTTTGCCATTACTGGCAGAGCTCTGCCCGTCATCAGCTTTAAATAGTCAAGGTCCTTCAGGCCAACAGTAAGATTCCATAATAAAACCTCTTACTAAGTTAAAAGAGTAAAGCTGTTAGTCCAGTTATTGTGCATGTATGTCACTTTGCAGCCCGCACCGGGCTTCTTCACGATATTGGTTCGGACCACTACGCCTCACCAGAACGGACAGACATCCACTCATACCAACGCGCAGAGTTGCCATACAACCGCCAAGATGACATTGACAGACGATTCGGCGAAAGTACTCTGCCAACTGTCAGAACTGAAGAAAGAAGGCGGGACAGATTAACTATTCCTCCCAAAGGATTGTTTGACGATGTGTAATTCGTGATTGCTTTGAACATATAGTATATATTCTAAGCCATACTTTGAATGCACAGTGCAACGTACGGTTAATATATATAAATATATATAAAATTGGATACCTGATTAATTCACGACTAAACCGTTAACTCTGAGTATGGCTACATACTGTACCTTAAATATAACAGAGACACAATAGTGCGTTCGTTATATGAATTATGTGAGATAGTAATTATTATTAATAAAGAATATGCATTATAGGATTTCGTCCAAAATACATGGACTTTGTAGTGTTAAATTAGGAAGCTAATTTATTTAAATGTTATCATGTGAGCTTATAGAATAAGGTATTAGATGTCCACTCTAAACAGGGCATAGAAATCAAATATAAACAAATTTAAACATTTAAATACTTTCCTAATAATATATATACACTAACTACAGACAAGTTAAACTGTATATTGAAAATTACTAAGAATTTTTAATAATATAGCTGTCCAAAGTCTACAGACAATTAACGCTGTACTTTGCATACAAAAAAATTGAAGTATAAATTAACCTGAAAATGTTTTTTTCGGAACGCAGATTGTAGACTGCCAACATGTATTAAAATCATGAATTAGGCAGAAAAAGGTCTACCGCATTTGATACATAATACTGAAAGTAAAAAGTATACTGGGGAGAATAATTAGACCAATTTAGAAGTTATTGTGTTAAATAAACGTACTTTGTCCATAGAATTGTGTCATACATTAAAATATTTTAATAAAGATTGAGTGATGTTCATATACATAGTAGAAATTTTTCATTGATTATTTGTTTTATAATTAATAATAAATATCTTGTTAAATCAAGAACCATTTTAGCGAATTAAAGTCAATATGCTGATCAATGGTCTCGGGAATAATCCCTTTCAAACACTGAGCGGAAATAATTGATTTTAAAATTTCGTAATTGTTAGGATAGATTGTAAATAATTTCACTAGTTAGCTAGTTACCGTCTTTAGTATGTTAATAGTGCAATTTTATATAAGCTTATAAAATAATTAATCATCATGTGTTTAGTTTACATTTAAAGACATTAGTGATTAAACTGTTTGCATCTTACAATCTAAAGGCGTTGAGTGTCTATGGGCGGTATCACAGGCTCGTTTGCCTCCTGTTCAATTTTTTTTAATCCCGTCCAGGCTAATGGTCTTAAGTTACGTATATTTTTCATTATATATATTTAGCAAAATGCTAATTCAATGGATGAGCGACTCGGCCATTTTGTTTATTCGGTATTACTAATAACAGTAACTAGGACAAGTTATCGCTGTGCCTATTAATTTAGAAGATTTTTTAAGATGCCTGTTGTTATTAATAATTAACATTGATGTTTAAAGGAATAGTTGAGAGTAGTCTTATAATTAAGTTATATTAAAATATATATACTGTGTCTATCTAATAAAATTTAAATGTACAAAATGCTTTCATTGATACTAGAGTGAGATTATAAATAAAAATTACACTTGAGTATGTAAGCGACAATTACCCGGAATTTATGAATGTTTAATTTGTACAAAAATACCAACCTTATTGTGTAGATTTTTAGGCTAATTTATGCAGATTTTTAAATTATGAGTTTCGTTTTAAAATACTTGTCTATTTGGGCAGCGACTAATTTTTAAAATCATATATACGCGCTTGCGAGTGCTTACATTTTGGTAGCTGTCATTTTAAGTCGGTTAAAATCAATTTGAAATTTGGAGCGTGCATGTATGTTCTTTAATTAGATTTACACAGTCCAGAAGATTATCTATGCCTAGAGATATCAAAGTATGTAAATACATTCTTAATGTCAAAACGAGAAATGCAAGTGTTATATTTTAAGAGCACCGCGACTCTTATTTCGGCCATTTTCGCCAAAGGTCTGTGTACTGTTTGAGTTACGTATCTGTTCGTATCTTTTAGATCACTTTAATTTAGCTATAACAAGATTATGCAGAAGAAAGTAAAGACCATGTGCGTTTATATATACTATATATTTCCCTCGGTTTAATTATTACAAATGTGTAAAATGATTATAGTACTTTTGTTAATGTTTTTAATTTATAACTAACTTGATTAGTAGATGTATACTAATTTTTTGTAGATCTTGCACGACTTTTACGGATTTTTATGCACAATGTTTCTTACCGTCATGTAAATCAGAGTCGACAGATGCGCAGGAGTAGCTTTTTTCCTATTTATTGTATGTTCTTGCCCAGATCATGCAAAATTTTTCTATATAAGCAAATATTATATATGTATAAAAATTTCCTCTTTTTTGAGGTCTTAAATATTTAAAATAGTTTTTATCTCTTTAGTATAAATAATATCTTGGCACATTGTTTAATAGAAAAAAACTTCTTCTGCGCATCGCGTTAGCCAACTTGCCGGGAACTATATCTGAGTTGTTTTAACACGAAAACGTTGATAAAAATTTAAGTAAAATGGAATATTAATATATGTATGGCTTAAATGCTTTGATAATAAATGTTTTAAATTTTATTTATTAAATACACGTGTAATGAAATTTGTCATAATTTATGTATGCAGCTATTGTCATTCGTTATTTCATTCCATAGTTTAAGTTAATAAAGTGTTAAAAAAAGGCCGTTTTTTTTCATAATTTATTCAGAATCGAAAAATTTATTTAAAATACACTTTAACGCTTTCTACTTTAGTTCGCAGTTCGTGTGAAGAGTCCTTAGAAAGGTCCTGCGCATATGTCTGGTAGATCTGCTTGAGTCTGTTCAATTCTTCTGTTTTCTGCAGATCTATAAACAGAGCAAATAAAAATAAAGAATTTAGTCTCTCACAATATAGAATTAACTTTCGTTTATTTCGGTTTAAATAACAATAAAAATATGAGTTAAGCCCAAAAATAATACCTTTTAATCGCTTTGTGAGTATTTCCAAGACATTGAGGGCGTCCCGCCTGCTCCGAACTTGGTTACTGTTTTCTAAAAAAAACAATCTCTATACCATACGGAAAAATAAATAAAAATACATATTTAATATAACAATAATGAGGTTATAATTATAGTAACATATTAGTTATAAATCCTCGTAAAAACACAAGGTTTCAAAATATGACAGACTAGAAACTACTCGCATGAAAAAATATGGAAATTTGGTGATATGAACTGACTTGCGTCTCGTAATGAACAAAAAATATTACAATTCGACATTCGTGTTACGCTTATTTATTGATACTATTATTAATATAATTCTTTTAACATTCGAAATTCAAAATTCTAGTTGACATGATACCCTGCCTGTAAGTTTTATAATTCTTTTGACCTTCGAAATTCGAATGCTCAATCCCCTTTTTAGTTATTCCCTGCACATAAAGTATTTACATAATTCAATTACCATTCGAAATTCAAATACCAAGATTCTAGCTTTTTCATTGATACCCGTCCCCTGTAACTGTAACTTTTATAATTATTTTGAACTTGAAATTCTAATAGACCACAAGCCCATGAACAAAAAATACCTGTGAAATGACCCAACGTGAATTACGCTTAGAAGGCTGTTACTATATCTGAAAATAGCTCTGAGCACTATGCCGTCATTTCTGAGCGGTACATGTGAGTACGTGAGTGAATGGACTTTCTCAGGTACAATTGGGGAATTTTGACTAACTATTAATGTACGGCATCATAAAAGTAGGGGTATTTTTTTTAAAATTTAAGTCGGTTCGATTTCCAGACGAGGCAAGTAATTTTTTTTTTAATCTTTGGATGCAGAATTACTAACTTTTAAAAATAACATAAAGTCTTCTTTTAGTAAAATACCCTATCTACGATATTTAAGGTACTTTCCCTTCATTTCCCATAACTTTGGGACGCCCTGTATTGGTAGGCGGTGGTATAATCTGCCATTTCACAGACTAGCGGACTATCGAAAGTGTACGGCATTTATCTTTTATTAAAGATTGTCTAAAGTATTAATAACCTGTGTTATTGCCGTACAGATAAAAATCACCGGAAAATGACTCTTTTTTGAGGAAAGTAATTTACTTCATACACCTATGTGTTCCACAAAAATGTACGGCATGCTGGAAAATGTTACCTATTTGTGAAGTACTCTCAAGATCATTTAATTTTATGTTGTTCTATATCATCATCACCTATATGCTAATCAGACATATGTTGCGACCCTTGGCTTTCGACCGCTCCGCTGGAAATATGTACGGCGTTTACGGGTAAAGTATCTGTATATTATGTGTCCAAAAGGAATCACACAAATGCCGTACAGTAATAAATGACCTATATTGCTTCTGCAACTGTCGTCGAATTAAAAAATTGCACCGACTTCCGGCACCATCACTTTAGTACGGCACTAGGTTTTTCGACATTTATTTTTAATCATCTATACACTTATAACAAAGCCGTACATTAATAGTTAGTCGAAATTCCCCAATTGTACCTGAGAAAGTCCATTCACTCACGTACTCACATGTACCGCTCAGAAATGACGGCATAGTGCTCAGAGCTATTTTCAGATATAGTAACAGCCTTCTAAGCGTAATTCACGTTGGGTCATTTCACAGGTATTTTTTGTTCATGGGCTTGTGGTCTATAATGTTTGATACTACTTTTTTCTTTATGGCCTGCTCACTGTATATATATTTTTTCTAACATTCGAAATTAAAATATACGATACTAGTTTTCTTTGCCTATAAGTTTTATATAAGTATTTCAACATTCGGAATTCAATTGTTATACTTACTAAGCGTATAGTCGACGATAGCAGCGACGTGTGTGGTGACAGAATTAATTGCCTTATCTCGATCTTCATCCGTGTCCATTGCATCAACATTAAGTATCACAAGTCTTTCCAACACTTGAGCGACGCCGGATAATATTGCTAGTTGAGTTGACCGCGAGCTTGATGGGTAGGACTTGGAGCAGTGCTCAAAGAATAAGTCTTGGTATTTTTCTGTAAGACAATACGATTAATAAGATTGGCTTTTCTCTCTCACCTCTTTT